CAAACTGGGACCGGTTTTCTGCTTCTTGACGAAGGGGCTGTGGGTGTAACACAAAGACAAAGGGAGAAGGTTCAGCTCCCTGATTTATTTCTTTATCTATTTTAGATTATTTATTTATTATTTTAACAAGGGGACACAAACTATTTCTGTGCACAGGCCAAAAACTTTCCCGCAGCGACTTGTAATTTCACCCCTGGTTATACCTCGGGTTTGTAAGGCGAAGGCTCAGCAGAACAAAGTCCAGGCAGTCCGGAGAGGCAAACGGCACCCAGTGTCACCCAGTGTCCTGGTGAGGCCTCTCTGGCACCGGGTGGCTGGACCAGAGCTCCACTGAAGAGGGCTGCGGGGTCCGGGCCGTGTTGCAGCGAGCACTGTCTCCGCCCTGGAAAATCATAGTTTATATTCTTTTCCTTCTTTTTCTTTTCTTTTCTTTTCTTTTCTTTTCTTTTCTTTTCTTTTCTTTTCTTTTCTTTTCTTTTCTTTTCTTTTCTCTTCTCTTCTCTTCTCTTCTCTTCTCTTCTCTTCTCTTCTCTTCTCTTCTCTTCTCTTCTCTTCTCTTCTCTTCTCTTCTCTTCTCTTCTCTTTCTCTTCTCTTCTCTTCTCTTCTCTTCTCTTCTCTTCTCTTCTCTTCTCTTCTCTTCTCTTCTGTTTTCTTTTTTCTTCTCTTCTCTTCTCTTCTCCTTTCCCTTTCTCTTCACTTTTATTCTCTTCATCTCTTCTTCCTTTTTCATTCTTTTTCATGCTATTGCTTTTTTCCTTTCCTTTCCTTTCCTTTCCTTTCCTTTCCTTTCCTTTCCTTTCCTTTCCTTTCCTTTCCTTTCCTTTCCTTTCCTTTCCTTTCCTTTCCTTTCCTTTCCTTTCCTTTCCTTTCCTTTCCTTTCCTTTCCTTTCCTTTCCTTTCCTTTCCTTTCCTTTCCTTTCCTTCCTTTCCTTTCCTTTCCTTTCCTTTCCTTTCCTTTCCTTTCCTTTCCTTTTCCTTTCCTTTCCTTTCCTTTTCCTTTCCTTTTCCTTTCCTTTCCTTTCCTTTCCTTTCCTTTCCTTTCCTTTCCTTTCCTTTCCTTTCCTTTCCTTTCCTTTCCTTTCCTTTCCTTTCCTTTCCTTTCCTTTCCTTTCCTTTCCTTTCCTTTCCTTTCCTTTCCTCTACCTCTTCATTCTCTCTTTCGCCAACCACAGTTACACAGTTGTGCTCTTAGAAGTCGTTTACTTTGACTCTATTGAATTTTGACGAAATTGGGGGAGTTTATTATCGTTTTTTGATAGTTTTCGATGGGGCCGGGAGGGCTGCCCCAGTCCCAGCCGGCGGGCAGGAGAGGAGGGCGCTGCGTGGCAGGGGCAGGGGCAGGGCAAGGAGAGGGGCCGGGGGAGGGCAGGGGAAGGACGCGGCAGCGGGAGGACAGGGCCAGGGGCAGGGGGAGCCAGGGACAGGGCCGGGCCAGGGGCAGGGCGAGGCAGGGGCCGGCTCTCCCACCCCACCCGCGCACTCTCCATCCCGTGGGAAGGGGAGGCGGGAGGGGGTGTTCACCCCTCGTCACTCCGTGTTGCGGACGGTAGCCGTGACCGAACGCTACTTCCCGAGTCAAGACTGTGACATTCACCCTCCTCTGTTCCCTCCCGAGCATCCCCCGTGCCCCACGCGGGTGTCCCCGGCTGCTCCGCGGGGAGCCCCATGCCGGGCCGGGCTCTGCCCTCTCCACTAGCAGCTCATAAAATTTTCATGATCCTGCAAGAAAGTGGAAGCCAGGCTTTCCAACCCGTCCGTTTGCTCCCGTTGACGGAAAGTATTCCCCGCGTGAAGTGGATGGATGGGCGCTGCCAGCCCCACCACAGGCTGCTGAGTGGGAGCTCAGAGGCAGCAAAGTGCCCTTCATCCTGCCTGGTACGGGGAAAATTGGCAAAATCCGGAGGTTTTAAGGGTTTTTATTTTTGTGGTTGTCGGCGGTGCAGTGAGAACCTGGCGGCACTGGGGAAATGCGGCCGTACTGGCTGAGCTCTGCCGGCCCGCCGGCTCCGGGGAAAGCCTGGTTGGGGCTGAGCGAGAGTTGTTTCTGGTTTTCCCCTTCCAAAATTAATGCGAGAGCCCAGGAAAGGCTGGGCAGTGCCGGGCACACCGTTTGCGGCACGGCCAGCCTGGCGAAGGGAACGAGGAGCAGCGACCTCTCCCCTCTCCTCTATCCTCCTCCAGCATCTCCAACGCACTGGAAAAGCCGCCTCAAAAGCTTCGCTCCGAAATAAAGTGATGCCGAGTGTGAGCGGGAGGGACATGGGGGCTGCCAGAGGGGCGCGGCGCTCTGCCCAGGCTGTGCCCACGGGGTAGCCCCGCTGCCAGACCTCCCCCAGTGGCACGGGCGGGGACTGTCTGGAAACGGGGGAATCGTTGAAAACCCGGCGAAATTTGGTGCATGCCAACGTCTTGCAGGCAGTCATCCCGCTCTGGAAGGGTGGGAGGTGCAGCCCCTCCCTGGACTTCCACTAGTCCTCTGGGCATTTTGGCTTCTCAGCACCTCGGGGTTTGGTTTGTTTGCCCGAGTGCAGGGAAAAGCCAGAAGGAGGGTTTGCTCGGAGGAGCGGCACGAACGGCCCCGGAGCCTTCCCACAGCCCGGCCCTGGCCGCGGAGCCTGCCCGCAGTCCGCCGGCGGCCGGTGCTCGGCCGCTCTCTCTCTCCCTCCCTCCTTCCCTGTACCGAGCTCACGGGTTGTCATCCCGTTTCTAAACTTCTCAGTGCCAAAAGCGCCGAGCAAAAGGCAGAGTGTGTGGGGTCCACTGCACCCGCACACTCACCTGTTTTCGGGAGGGAAAATATATATACATATTTTTAGTGGGTGGTAGCATGCAATGAGCCTCGTTGAAACTACGGGGGGAGCATAAGGGAAAAGAAATCTGGCTGGTGTGCAGAGAGGAGATATTTGCAGGCACCAGATCTGCGAGGGGAGGCTGGAGCAAAGAAGCAAACGAAGCCAAAATCGCATTTCCAAGCCACCTCTCCCGGTGACCCGCAGTGGTTCCCGAGAAAAAGCCCTTGCAAGCCGCGATGCCGCTGGCGAGGTGCCCGCAGACCGGAGAGCAAACGTGCTGCTGGGGAATGTTTCTACAGAGATTGAACTCCCAGATAAAAATAACCTTGGAAAAAAAAAAAAATAGACCATTCAGATTTCCTCGGTTTGGTATCAGATCACCCTTTCACCCCCCGCCGCCCCCCCGCTGCCTCTGCATACCTGAGGTGCTGGATTATTGTCAGAGGATAGGCAGATGCAGTAATTGTTTTGTACAGCTTTGTTTATCTCCTACTTCGGAGTTTACATCAAGAATTCTCCTCCCTGTCCTATGCAGGGTATAAATATTCCCGCGAAGGAGCAGGATAACGAATGGAAAGGTTAACGCGGTACGGGCAGCGAGCGGGCAGGTAACGAGCGGTTCAAGGAGATTTGAAGTTTTTATCGGTAACTTGGGTCCGCCCGGGAGCAAAATATTTGAAGTGCAGCACCTTGAACACGTTTAATTATGGGGTAGTAGCAAAGCGAGAGCTTCCAAGTAATTAGAAAATACTTCTTGGGAGACAGGCTAATCGCTTTTCATGGGGCGCTTGAAGAAATTAACCTTTGGGTGCTTGTTTGAGCAAAACAACTTTGGATCAGCCACCGCTGGTCTTCGCTGGTGGACCTGACCCGCTCTGAAATACAAAGGAAATAGGGACAAAGATTTAATATTAGATAAAAATAAAAAAAAGATTAAAGGAAATTGAAAGGGGAAATAAAAAATGATAAAAAGTAGGAAAACAAAAAGGAAAAGAAGAGGAGGGCAAGGACTCGCTGCCCCTTTCCCTCAAGGCGGCGAGTGATGCGTGTCACCGCAGGGAAGCCACCTCCAAGTGAAAATGTCACTTAGAGGGAGAGCCGAGGGTCGGGGTGAGGCGAACACCGGAGCCGAGCCACCACCTCCTGACCGTGCTCGGCCCTCCGCGGGGCCGCGCAGCCCTTTTCCGTGCGCCCCGTCGGGGCGGTGGCACCGTGCGGGCCCCGGGGAGGGATAATGGGTCGACTGCGAGGGAGGAACCGCGCCCGCATCCTCGCTCCTCTCTCACGCGCCCCGCCGAGGATCTGCGCCCCCCAACCTGTACAGCCCACTCTCGACCCTTCGGCCGTGCAGTCGTACTTCGCTCCCTAATTTTGTTTCGGGGTATTTCTCCCTAAAGACAACAAGCAAAGCAGCAGCGGCAGCTTTCCCCGTTCTAAACAAGCGGGGACTTCGGGGGAGGGGGGGGTCCAGAGGGAGACAGGTCGGCGTTTTTTGGGGGGAGCACAGCGCCGCAATGCCATTTGGGGAGCAGTCAGGGCAGATCAAAGGCTCCTGTCCGGCTGCGGGAAGGACGAGTCAATTACCGCCGAACCGCGCGGCGGGGAAGGGACGGGCCCCTCCAGGCTACCCGCGGGCACCGGGCCGGGCCTGTTCCGCCCCCCCAACACACCCCCCCAGGACCCCTTTGTATCGCCGCCGCTCGCTTAATATTATTTATGCGTTTCTGCAAGGAATTGTGGGATGCCGGTCCCCCTCCTCCGGTAAACACCGGGGCAATTAACCCCCCGATAACTCATCTCTGGGGAAGGAGTACGGGGGGGACACACGGGCCGGGGCAGGGGGGTGGGGGGGCGCGGCGGTGCGCGCCCCGCGCAGGGACACCCGCATCTTCCCCCCCTGCGCATCCCCGCGGCGGCCGGGCCCGTCCGTGGGAGGGGCGTGGGCGCTGTCACTTACCGGGGCGCCCCGCATCACGTGTGCGCTCGCCCGGGCTACCATTGGCCCGAGGCACGTGTCGGAGCGCCCGGGCCGGCGACGTCAGCGGCGGGGGCCCCGTTAAAACCTAAAAGGACAACAACCCGAGTGGAAGTGCCCGGGCGCGGCGGCGGCGGCCGCCGGGGCGTAGCGCGGCGCAGGGCGGGCGACAGGGCAGGGCAGGGCAGGGCAGGGCAGGGCGGGACGCCCCCTCCCCTCCTCCTCCCCCCACCCGCGGCGGCCCCTGCATGTGCGGGCGCGGGGCGGCGCGGGGCGAGGCGCTGCCGGCCGGAGCCCTGCGGGCGCTCCCTCACCGCCCTGCCCTCCGCGGGACACCGGTTGCTGAGAGCCCGCCTACACCCCGCCCCGACACCGGCGCTTTCTGTTTTTTTTTTTTTTTTCTTTGCGCACTCCCAACCCACCCTCACCCCCGATCACCACCAACCCCCTTCCGCCCCTCAATTATTATTATTTTTATTACCACTAATTTTTTTTTCCTCCGCTGATGAGGCGCGGCGGCGGCAGCGGCAGCCGGGGGAGCAGGCGGCAGCGCGCCGCGGGACCGAGTGGCTGAGAGGCGGCGGAGCGGCGGCGGGAGGACCGGAGCCTCCTCTCTGTGTTTTCATTTTTTGGCGAAGTTGGAAGTGGTGGAGGCTCGGCTGCTGGCTTGGGGAGGGGGTCTCCCTGCATTTGTCTCTCTCTTTTTTTTTTTTTTTTTAAATGACTCTTAATTTTTAATAATTTTTTTTTTTTTCAAACTCTGGATTTTGAGTGCCCGGCGAAGCCAGGAGAAACGAAAGCAAATAGACACCTGTGCGTGCGTTGTGTATATATATATATATATATATAATATATATATTAAAAAAAATTAAATAAAGAACAACCGACTGCAGCAGCAACAACAGAGACAGCGCTCGGCAGCGCCCGGCCGGCGGCGGGCGGGCAGCGGAGCCGTCGGCGGGGCGGCCGCGCAGCATGGAGGAGGGCGGCCGGAGCCCCCGGGAGGAGGCGGCCGAGCCGCAGGAGTCCGGCGGCGACGCGGAGCCCGGCAGCGGCGGGCGGCGGGGGCTGCTGCTCCCCCCCGGTGACCCCCCGCACCCCCACCCGCACCCGCATCGCATCACCAACTTCTTCATCGACAACATCCTGCGGCCCGAGTTCGGGCGGAGGAAGGAGGCGGGCGGCCCCGGCGCGGAGCCCCGGCGGCCCGGCGCGGAGAGCCGCCGCAGCCCCGCCGCGGCGCCGGCCCCCGGGGCTGCGCTGCCCGGCGGCGGGGCGGGCTCGCCGGGCCGGGGGGAGGGCGGCCCCGCCGGGCTGGCTCTGCACGGCGCCGCCAAGAAGGGGGGGGACCCCGCGGCGCTGGAGGCGGCCCTGAAGGCGCGGGGGCTGAGCGGCGGCGACCTGTCGGTGAGCTCGGACTCGGATAGCTCCCAGGCCAGCTCGAACGCCGGGAACCAGCCCATGCTGTGGCCCGCTTGGGTGTACTGCACGCGGTACTCGGACCGGCCCTCCTCAGGTAAGCGCTGCCCCGCCGCGGCCCCGCTCCCCCACCGCCGCATCCCCGTCCCTGGGCCGTCTCCGCCCGCCCTCGAGGCCGGGAAGCGGCGTAGAAAAGACCCCACTCCGCTTTCCCGCTCCGTCGTCGTCTTCTTCTTTTTTTTTGGTTTTTTTTTTTTTTTTTTTTTTTTTGGAGGGGAGTGGATGGGGGAGGGAGTTTCTTAAAATGGCCTGAAAATGCGGGAAGATGAAGGGGCGGCCGGGGGTGCGCGGAGCCGGAGGGACGAGGAGGGAACGGGGGTTCCTCCCTCCCCGCCGCCACAGCGGAGCTGGGGCTGCCTGAGCTCGGGGCATTTCCCACCAACTGCCGAGTTTTATCGAAGAGGGAGGAAAAAATTCTGTCTCTGGTTCCCCGCTCATCCTCCCGGAGAGCTCTCCTTCTCCCTGCCGGGAACCTCCCCCCATCCCGCACTGTGTTTTGGAAAGGGGAGGGGGCATTTCCACAGGCCTCGCCTTGTTTTGATTAGTCTTTTTCGCCAAAAACAATCCGCGGTAGTTTATTTCTCTAAAAGAGGCCTCGGAGCGGCCGGCGTTTCGTTTCTTTCTTTTAATGTCCCCCCATGTGCTGTAGGTCAGCTCTATGGGGGCCGGGGGACGTTCCCAAGAGCCAAGGAACTTCTTTGGCAGGGTCCGTCCCTCGGCAAGGGCTTGGGTAAAACCTCCCGAAATTATCGTAAAAAAAATAAATAAAAGAAATAAAGAAAATTTTAAAAATAAAGCTGAGGGGTGAGGGGTAACATGTCCTTCTGCTACCGCGGGGACAGCAGGGCTGGTCCCGGCAGATCGGTAAAACCCTGGTTAAAAAGAAGTAGAAAGCACTGGGGGAAGGCATGGGAAACACCAGACAAGAAATCTGCTCCCAGGGAAAAGAAAAAAAAATATGGATCTTTGTCTTACAAAAGCAACGAGGTAGGATTTTCACCCGGGAGCCGGCCAGCTGAAGGAGGGATCGTAAAACGAGATGAAAATTAGTTCGTAATGTCTGAAAACAAACTCTTGCTCAGAGGTAATATTCAGAGCTGAATTGGAATTTACTCCATTGTTCTCCAGTGCTCTCCTTTGTTAATATTTAATTAACATACATCCTCACAATGGCTCGGCCCGGGCAGAAAAGGCTCCTTGTGCTGCCGAGAATAATATTCCCGAGAATAATCCCGGCGATTCGGATCGGGCAGTGCAGCGCCATATGGGCACTGCAGCGGAGAGGCAGAATGCTTCTCCCCAAGTAAACTAGACGAGGAGGATTTCCATTAGAATTTTTATGGCGTCCCATCAAAAAAAAAAAAAAATTAAAAGTAAAGAGGTTTTCTTAAAAAAAAAAAAATATATATATATATATATATGGTCGGGGTATAAAATTTAGCTCCGTGCCGCTGCTCTTGGTGCAGGCTTTCCTTGCCGGGCATCCCCGGCATGCAGAGGGTCGGTAATTGTGTTTGTGGCTGGGGGGGAAGGGGACGCGGTGGGGGAGTTGGGGGGAGCGGCCGGGCAGCGATCGGGGGTCTGCGGGGGCACCGGGGGCTGCGGCTCCCATTCCGCCGCCTCCAGAGCATCCCCCTGGCAGCGGAGGGACAAAGCGGGTTTATTTTTCTTAGGGGGTGGTGGTGGGGGTGGTGGTGTTGTCGGAGCGTGGGTGCCCCCCACGCGGGACCGCGCCTGGCGTGGGGCTGCCCGCAGCGGAGCGTGGCGGTGTCGGTGCTTCTCCTCTCTCCCGGCCGTAGGTCCCCGCTCCCGCAAACCAAAGAAGAAGAACCCCAACAAGGAGGACAAGCGGCCGCGCACCGCCTTCACCGCCGAGCAGCTGCAGAGACTCAAGGCCGAGTTCCAGACGAACCGGTACCTGACGGAGCAGCGGCGGCAGAGCCTGGCCCAGGAGCTCGGGCTCAACGAGTCCCAGATCAAAATCTGGTTCCAGAATAAGCGAGCCAAGATCAAGAAGGCGACGGGCAGCAAGAACTCCCTGGCAGTGCACCTCATGGCCCAGGGGCTCTACAACCACTCCACCACGGCGAAAGACGGCAAGTCGGACAGTGAATAGCCAAGGGAAAGGGGGTGGGGAGGCGAGGGAGGGAGATGGGAGGCGGGGGAGGGGGGCCGTTTGCAGTCAAAGTTTATACAATGCAATAATTTAATTAAAAAAAAATAAAAAGAAACATAAGGGCCAGTGTATAAAGATTATACCAGCATTAATAGTGAAAATATTGTGTATTAGATATAATTCTGCAATATTCTATGTATATATAATTTACAGGTAAGGTGGTGTAAAAATCCAAGATATCTGATTATAAAATATTTTTGATTTTTTTTTTTTTTTTGGTTGGTTGATTTTGATTTCGGGGTTTGGGCTGGTTGGTTGACTTTGGTTTGTTTGTTTGCTTTTTTTTTTTTTTTTTTGGTTGTATGGAGACTTTAGATGCTATCTGTATGATTTTTTTTTTAAATGCTTAAGTTACCTTTTATAGACTTAAGCACAGTTTTAATGGACATTGGACGATGTTTTTTGAAATTCAAAAAAAAAAAAAATTAAAAACAACTTTTGCTGAAGTCCAAAGATTTTTATTGCTGCATTTCACACTACTGTGAACCGAATAAATAGTTCTCCTATTTGTTCTATGAGTTCCAACTTTTTTTTTCACCCCACCCCTACCCTTTTCTTTTTTTTTTCTTTTTTTCTTTTTTTCCTTTTTTTTTGTTTTGTTTTGTTTGGTTTGGTTTGTTTTGATTTTGTTTGTTTTGGTTTTGCGGGTTTTTTTGGTTTGGTTTGTTTTGATTTTGTTTGTTTTGGTTTGGTTTGTTTTGTTTTTGGAGTTGGAATGTCTGGGGGCTGACCTTGGGGATAGACGTGGAGAATTTAATTTTAAAAGGAAGAAAAAATATAAGTAACGATAGGGAGACAAATCTGAAAACACCGCCTTGAATCACGCCCGGGGTCCTTTCCTGAGCCTCTACCCCTTCACCACTCCCAACGAGACCCACGAGCGTCCTTGGATGCAGGATAGAGATGGCGTTAGCACCCCCTCCCCCCTTCCCTTCCAACTTACTGGGAACACTTTGGGACCCCCATCTCCGAAAAGCGGGAGCCGCTCCGGGATGCTGCTCCTTCCCGGTCCCGCTCCCCCTCCACGGGGGCCGGCCGAGGGATGAGGCCCGGCTCCGCTGCGGCATCACATCCCCGAAACATTTGGGAGCGTTTTAGCCCCCCCCCCCTAAATAAAGTAACATTTTTAGTTGTCTCTTCCCCTCCCAGCGCAGTCCCCTCTGGCGCGATACGTTTCGTGGCAGCGTGCGGGTGGGTGTTTCTCCCTCCGCCCCCCTCCCCGTTCCCCACGCAGACACCCCCTTGTAATCGGAGTTTTTCGGGGGTTCGAGGCGCTCTGCTGCGTTTAACCCGTTTCTCCCGGAGCGCGGGGTCCCTCTCCCTACTCGGGAGGGGGGATGTGTCCCGCGTGGGCCTGGGTATGCGTGGGCAGCTGCTCGGGAACGGGCTTTCCTGCGACGCTGTTTGGGGGAGGGGGGGGGGAAACTTCTCGCTTTGCCTTAAAACCTCTTTATTTTGCAGCTCTAATAGATAAACATTGTACATAGTAGTATAAAATTAAGGAAAAAAAAAAGAGAAAAAAGAAAAAAAAAAGAAAGAATCCAGCTATAAAATAAAGAACTGTAATTTTAAATTCTGTGAATAACCATCAGCTGCTTAGGAGCCAGAATTAAATGACTTTGCCTTTTAGCAAGAAAGCAAAGGATTTTTTTTTTTCTTCTCTCCAGTTTATAAAACATGTGCATTTTACAATTGCAGTATCAAATATTTATAATCGGATGAAATATGAATGTTTCTATTTACAACTGTGTTCTCAACATTGTGAACATTCTCGCTGCATTTTGTGTGTTTCGATTCTCAAGGACTGCATTAAATAATAATAATTAAAAAAAAACCAACCAAACAACCCACTTTATTACGAAATCCAAACCGTGTCACTCAGGCGTTGCAATGGAGCAGTGCTGTTAGGGAATATATATCCCTAAATGTTCATGCAGTCCTTAGCCTGCACTTCTGAGCATCGGAGCTGGAGTTAGAAATATTTCGTAGTTTCAGCTCTTTACAGGGTGTGGGGGGGAAATCCGTGGCGACTTATGAGAGAGGTGGTTTTGCAGCCAGGCTTTTCATCAGCCTTTTGACTTAATGAGGAAACTTTGGGGGATTCATTTCTAGCTGAAGGAGAGGACGAGCGCCAGCCGGCACCGATCGCCTCTCGGGCACTCCTCCTCCTGCTCGAAAGGAGCTGAAAACGGAAAGGAAAATCTCTTTAATCTCACGTACTGTCAACAGGTTTCACCTTTTCAAGACTTTAAATACCCGGTGGTGTGATGCTCTGACAGGCTACGTTTGGAAAACCTCTGCTAGAAAAACTCATAACCCCGGAGCTCGGGAAGAGGGGATGGAATATTGCCGATGCCACGCCACGAAACCAGGCACCCTGTAAAATGTTTGGCAGCCCCGGGAAAGGACAGTACCATGATTTTAGGACGGGCTGGACAAAAATAAAACGATTACCCGCCTTGCTGCGACAAAGGGCACAAGAACTCCGAAATAGCTTTCTGCAGGCAGGAGGAGAGGGAGGAAGGGCAGAGCCTCACTCACCCTCAGGGTCGTTCCTTCTGCAGGGGACGCGCTCCCAGATAAAACCAAGGGGAGGTGTATTTAAAATTTTACTTTATATATATTTTTTAAAGCTGCTACTTTAGGATACATTCTGCAAGGGGCAACGTTCTCCAGGAGAGGAGCTGCCGCGAGCATGGTGCACCAAGGGCTTTACCTGCCCGAAGAAACTGGGGCCAGGGCTGAGTGCGACGGGAGTGCCGGGGATGCTACCAGGATACTGCGTGTTCCTGCTTCCCAACCTGCTTTATTTTTCCAGCCTTTTTTGTTTATGTACCTGTGAGGAGATTTTTTTTTTTCTTTTTTTTTTTTGGTCACCTCCACTAATAGAAGCAGGTGATTTATAATCCAGAGAGAGAAAGTCGGTGGCAGGGGTCACTAAAGAAGAGTTTTAAGTCTGGTTCGAAATATAGCTCCGGCTGCCCAGTGGTAGAAAACGGCCCCATGGGTGTGTTACACGGGAGTGGACAAGTCCCACGGAGATATTTTTAATTTTTATTTTTTATTTTATTTATTTATTTATTTATTTAGGAAGTTACAAAACCTGCATCGGGGGAAATTTTGACCTTGCTCCTAAGTGTGCAGGCAGTACTGCTTCCACCTGTCCTGCCCCATTCCCCCCCAAGAAATACTGGGAATAGAAAAGAGATGTGTGACACAAGCAGGAATATGCGTTTAGTTTTATATTTTAAAAAAACATAGTGAAACTTCTCTAAGTTAGTTCAGTCTCTGGAGCAAGGACAGAAAATACCACGCTGCTGCTTGGATTTTATCCACATCAGAACACAAAATATTTGCCATTGGTAAGCCGTGCCTTCAGTGGGAGCAGCGAATTCCTCACATGGGCTGCACTCCTCACCTGCCTCCGATATTTTGGGGAAAGCTTCCATGGGAAGAGGCACAGGTTCGGAGGCACTTGCTCCGCTGCTGCCTTTCGCCATCCTGTGAGCGGCTGCTGGTTCCCGTGCGCCTCCCAGCCCGCGCTCCCACGCCCGGGCAGCGGCTCCCCGCTGGCTTGGGAAGGACGGCACGGATAAATTAGCCCTCGATAATTTAACATTTAAAATTATTTTAACGGAATGAACCGCCGCACCAGCTCCTCTCGCAATTTTAGCAAAGCAACAGCACCTTTCTGAAACAGCCTTTTTGTTTTGGAAAAGGCAAAATCCCAACCCACAGCAGCCCCGAAGCCGAGCCAGAGTTTCCCCCAAAACCGGGCTGCACAGGACTGGCCCAGGAGTTACCCACCGCCCGGCAGCGTTTTATTCCTGGCAGGCAGCTCTCCCTGAGTTTTCCCTCCCCCAGCTAGCGGGGCAGACTCCTTCCCCTCCAACCAGAACAGCAGAGTCCCATAAAAAAAAGAATAAAGCAGGAACCCCCCCCCCCGTCCCCCCAAACAAACTAACCAAACAAACCCACCAACCCAGGGAAGTATTTCAGGGCCGAATAAAAATACATCTGCACTTGCCCGGCGCCAACCAGCCCCTCCGTGTAATTAATTAAGCGTATTTTCCCCGTAACTCTGTTCAATGAGCATCTGAACAGTGAGGTTTAGTGAAGGTGTTCCTCCGCTCTGCTCTCTGTTAACGCAGGGTATGGCACATGCGATGTATAAACTCGCACCCAGGCACTATATATGCAAATGCTCGCGCCATTGATTGTGAAATGCATATCAGAGTTAGAGAAGGAAACTATTTAGCTAGCTCTGGTTTGTGGGGAAAAAAAAAAAAAAAAGTAATTCTGTATCCCGCTGATTTAATATCCGACCTCCACATTCAATCCCCGCCCATGCAGCTATCAAAAGTACCCCTGGGATGTTTGGATATCATCTCCAAACTAACATCTGTGATTATGAAACGCTCAGAAGGGGAAGGTTAATAACAATTTGTTTCAAAGGGCCACGAGTCAATTTTATAAACAAATTCGCGTTGCCTTAAAAACAAACAAACAAGCAGAGTGGAAGCCGGCACCCGCACGCAGGGGCTGGACCTGGGCACTCGGGGCAGGTTTTGTGCCCACTTCCCTC